CTAGGGGGGGGATTGTATAGGGATTTTAATAGGGATTTTATAACTTTTCTAAAAATAACAGGCTAATTTAATATATATTTTAATTGTTTTTAGATATTTATTGTATAGTTTCGTTTTTTATTTGCCTGTAAGCCGCCCTGAGTCCTTCGGGAGAAGGGCGGGGTATAAATTAAAGTAATAATAATAATAATAATAATAAGCATATAATGTTAGTGTCAAATGTACCACTTGGTTGCTCTTTAGAAAAACGATCACTAGTGGGCTACTCTCAGAACAGTTAGAGTTTGCTCTCCACTCCCCCCCCCACATTTCTTCTGCTTTTTATTTCTTTATGGAAAAAGGAAGCCTCCATACTTTCTTGAAAAGGGAATTTCAGCCTGAATGCCTTCAGAAATTCACCACTATAGACAGCATGTTAACAAGATAGATCTTTGAACAAAGCAATCTATTTATATATTTTAAAAAAGTACACATTGCAGAATAGCTTCACAGTATTCAAGTGACATGAATTAAAGGGCCCCATTGGCAGCTCATCAAAGAGCATTCTATTCTGCGGTGCTTGCATTTGATGTGCAATAGAAAGATTTCAAATTATAACCCCTTGGCATTGTTGGCATTGACAATAGCAGCAAAGCAAGCCAGGCCTTCTAATGAACACTTCTTATAGCAGCCTTCTCCAACAACAACGGTATGTTGGGCTACAAATCCCATTTGTCATTGCCAGAATCCTAGGAGTTACATGGAGTATATCAAGATTGCTGTTATATTCTTTCTTAGCAGTATTGACTGAACGATTATTTGAGAATATTCTTGGTGTTCCTGTTGAAGATATAAAAATAATACTATAGCAACCACTTGGGCAGAACCAATCTTGTTACACAAAGACCATGTTCTTAAAGGAAGCTTGTAGCTTATTGATTTTTTTTTTTTATTCTCCCAGCAATATCAAGAGGCTATCAGAGCTCATAAAGCAGGGAAACCCGTGGAGTTTGCTGACCTGCCTGTGCCACCAGGTATCTAATTTCCAATTCTGCTAGTTATGTTGTTTGCTTCAGGGTTTCTCTAGGCTTTCAGTATCCTTAGGAAAGCATATCCAGGAGTATGGCAAGTAACGGAGCAGATTGCATCTCTTCCCTCTACAGGTAGCCTTTTCCCTTTTGAAAACTCCTCTGCATGATATTTTACCTACAAATAAAGAAGGGCACATTAAGGAGAGTTTTAAGCTTCACCCACTCCTGGCTATGCAAGAATCTTTTTATATACAGCATGTGAGAGTTTTATTTTCAGCCTGAAGTATGTCAGTTCATTTCAGGTTTTGCTTTGCTTGATTACATCAGATCTGTTGTGTTCACGTGAGTGCTAATCAAGACTGCTTGGTCTTGCCATTGGCCTCTGTGAGTGGAGACTGCTTTCTAAAACACTTTTAGAGAAGCTTCTTTGCCATTCATAATTTTCTACAGGTAGTCCTTGAGTTACGACCGTTTGTTCGGTGACTGTGATGGCACTGAATGAAGGGACTTACAAACAGTCCTTGAAATTCCAGCCATTGCAGCGCCCTCAGAGTGAGGCAAAGAAAATTCAGGCATTTGGCAACCAGCTTGCGCTTATGATGAGTTGCAGCATCCTTTAGTCATGTGATCCCTGACCTCTGCCAGCCTCCTAAAAGCAAAGTCAATGGGCAAGCCGGGCAGGGAAGATCACTAGTCGCTTGGAAACATCTTCACCCCACCACTTGCCTTTCTTGGCTTGCTCGCGCTACATCTTCCTTCCCCCTGGCTCGCACCCGGCCTCCCTGTGCTCTCTCTCTCTTTCTCTCTCATACACACACACACCCTTCACCTCTTTCCCCAGCCTTCCTGCGCTCACGTATGTGCATGCATCACCCCTCCCAACTCACATGTAGCTTACACTGGACCTCCCCTACCTTCTGTGCTACCCTCATACTTCTTACCCGAGACTCCTTCCGCTTCACAACCCCACGTTGTGGTAGTCTTGGGCACTATCTGCATTTGGAGAATTGGTGATCCACCAGAACCCAGTGTTGTCACCATAGTTTACACGGTAGCGATGGAATGCAATATATTATTGCATCCAGCCTATAGCATGCTTACAGAAGCATCCTCTTGATCTGACAGGAAGAAAAGGATGTGTTTGATAAATTCTGTCCTCTTACAGCAGCATAATGCGATAACACAAAACGACTCCCAAATAGATTATTTTTCTAGCTCTTGACTTTACCAGTGCCAACCTAGTGCCATCCCACAGTGTTGAATTTTCAGTTTTCATTATTTATTTATCAACTTTAGAGACCTCTCAGAGCGACTCTGGCTAACAATAACAATACTGGTTGGAAATGTTGAGAAATGTAACACGATACATCTGAAGGGGTCTCAGGTTGGGAAAGGATTTCTTAGGTTTTTCAAAGCAACCAATGCCAAAATAGCTGTGTACCTCATTTCCATTCGTAACCACAAAGGCTGTGATCTCAGTTGTGCTCCTTTTTAGCACAAAATCTTCAGTTCTGTGGATGGCATCTTGGGAATCCAATTGTAGTCTGTGGCACTCTGAGTAGATCAAACTCTATAGTGTTATTTAAATACATGAAGAAATTGATTCCTTAGTAATGAGTGAGTGAATGACTGCCAAGTAGCCAAGAATGACATCAAGCAGCTGGCAAGGATGCCATATTTAAATTTACTATCATTTCACCTTTAGTGTTTTGTCATCTTTGGCAGGTTTCCCTCCTATCCAAGGAATGGAATCTTTGCCAGGAGATCAGAGTTTGGGAGGGATCCTTGAAACAGCGATGAAACTGGCAAACGAGGATGAAGATGCAGAAGAGACAAAAAAGGTTGGACTAAGTACTAGGCAAGATCTTAAATGCTTTCCTCCAACAACATGTGTGTGCCACGGTTGACAGAACTGGGTATAAATTGGGAGCTGCTAGAAACCCTAATCAGACCAAGTATATATTTTCACCTATTTGTAGCTGCCACCTTCTCTGGGTGGAATTGATTATATTGTTTCCCTTTTTATTTTAAATTGTGTAACCAACCCAATCACCTCTTAAACTACCTGCAGCAATTGCACCTTATGCTATAAAAAAAAGCCAAAGTGCCACCCTTCATGTCTGCTTTGGTTGGCATTGTTTTATCAGGAGTGCCAGCAGCATGTTGGAGTTCCTGCCACCTCTTGCTGGGGACAGTCCGGGAGGAATGGAGCCTCTGTATCACAGGATGACTTTCAAAGTTGAGGAGTTGCTACAGAGAAGGCCCCTTTTCTTCTGTGGGTGACAAATGAACTTGCAAGAGACAAAGAAGAAAAAGTTTCCTCTAATTATTTTACTGTGCAGAGGTGGGAAGAAGTTTAATCAAAATGATCTAAGTTTCTCCTTAGCCAGAGCCAAAGACCATCTTGATTAGAAACATTATGCCATACTGTACTTCTTACTGTGTTGCACAACTACGGTAAGAGCAAAGCTAGATATGGGAAAATATGTGCCTTTATCTCCTACTCAGAAGTGCTAAATTAATTTCATACACATTTGGCAAGTAAATGTGAGAAGAAGACAGCTTCACTATGTGTTCGCTAATTTTCACTCTTGCATTTATATCGCATCCTGGGAATTATATAGACAGAACCTTACAGATCTATAATGTTAAACTCTGAGCATGGAGAAAAACTGACATTCCCAAAAGTGAGAAAGCTAGAAAACACTGGGGAAAAAAGCCTTGTAAAGTCCTTACTTAGTTGAATAAGCATTGAAATAAATTAAAATCATATATATCGGGGCATATAAAATTATAAAAATGAGTGTGTTAAAAATAACAAACATTTTAAAATGATATAGAGTGAGAGTCAGTGAAAATGAGGCACATATGGTTATGTGAAAGAGAGTCTTCCACCTTTAAAGATAACTGAATTTGATGCACTTTGAATGTTAGCAAACAGTGATTTGAAATTTAACAACTAAAGGGAGCAAAACCAACCACAAATACCACAGAGATAATATAAGTAAGTATGTATGTTTTCCTAGCAAAGGTGTGACTTTGTGTCTTTGGCTAATTATGAAAAAGTCGGGAGGAATGAGATTTATTTTTGAACGTGGGATTATTTGAATGGAGGAGGACGTGTGATTTGAAATTGCAAGAGCGGAAAGGTGATAGAAACCAATAAATAGAAAGTTTAAAAGCAAATCTGAACAGCTTTTAGAGAACAGTTCTCATGAATTAGAGCTAAAAACTATCAAGAAATTTTATGAAGTGAGATATCATTGGGGAAGGCAGCTAAGTGAAATACAGTGTTTGGGGTCTTCAACTCTCCTGCCCACCACCAGGGAAAGTGTTAACTGGTCTCAGGGGAGGGGGAGCAATCTATTGCTGAAGGCTGGAACAATGACTGTCTCCTGTCCCTTCCCTGAACCTCATACAGCAGTGGTGGCGAACCTATGGCACGGGTGCCAGAGGCAGTACTCAGAACCCTCTCTGTGGGCATGGGCGCCGTCGCCCCAGTCCTAGGCCTTCAGCTGGGTTTTATAAAACCTTTTCGCTGTGTACAAAAAAAAAAGGTTCAAGTCAATTTCAACTTCTTGCGGGGAAAAAAAAGATCTTGCAAAGTTGGAATTGATTGATTAAACTTTTTAGTCCCACCCAGTGTGCTGTTACCACCACAGCCATGCCCACCCAATGGGCCACACCCACCCGGCACCCGACGATGCATAAGTGGATTTTGAGTTGCAGTTTGGGCACTCGGTCTCTAAAAGGTTCGCCATCACTGTCATACAGTATATATTGAGGGATTCTTGACATCCTAACACAGCATGTGTACACGTGCTACTTGAAGCAAACCTAGTAGGAACCTAGGCACCCGTGCCATTTTCCACTTTGCCCTTCAGGCAAGATTTGCAGTTAACAAAGAGGGCCAGACGTATTCCAATCACAAGGACTCACCCAAAAGGCTCTTGCAAAAGATCAGTATTCTGCTCGGCCTAAATGGTCATAACTGAGGGTTCTCCTCTATCTTCCTGAGAGCTGGGATGGCTATCTTTCTCTTAAAATAGCACTTTTGATATAGGGCCTTTAAAAAAAACAACAACAACAAATAACTATGGTTCGCAAGGTTGAGAAAAGTAGAAGGGGAGGACAACAGATAAAGTGGACGGAATGGATCAAAGAAATGCCAAGACTATTCTTTGAAGAGATTCAAATTATGACTATGGCAAACATTTGTGCAGGTAACAGGAGACAGATCTGTCTTGCTGACACCTAACTAATTTGTGTGCATATATTAATTAAGCCCAAATATTTGAAGAATAATTATTGTTCTTTTTTGCAGTTCAACTGATAACAGGATCATGTCATTTGTGTAATCTAGATTTTAGCATGGAAAACCACGTCATTAGAGTGGGTAACATAGTGCCTTTCAGAGGTTTTGGGTTCAAATGATCCTCAGTCCTGGCCATTAAGAAGGTGGTCTGTTCTAGATGAAGTAGTTTTCCTTCTAAAGGAACGGATGTGTGGTTTGGGAAGTGTCAATGCCAGTCTGTCACTGGAGGCACAGGTGACTGTATTGGTAAGAAGGATCTGTACCGCTTCAGCTAATGCACCACTATGACCCAACCTGGATCAGATTAGCTTTGATCAGAGATTCATACCATAATATAATCTTGACTGAATTCCCACACATCCTTTGGCGATCTTTGGAAATGCTCTGGAAGGTACAGCAAGGGCATTGTAAATAGGATAATAGGGACCAAATAATTTTGAATTGGAAATGCTGTCCTAGATCATTGTGATTTACTGGGCTAGGTTTAAAATGTTGATCAAGATTGACAGATCCCAGCACCATCCATCTCAAGCATTGAGACCAGACAGGAAGGCTCTGCCTATGGCCTATTAGAGAATTTGGCTTACAGTACAGTGACCAAGAACAGAACCTTCTCAATGACAGTACCCCAATTACGCAACTTCCGAAGAGTGTTTCTTGGCCCCACCCTGACCCCAATTTATCCCTTTTAACATATAATCAGCTACTCCAGGATCTGGATATCTTTTAGATTGCCTGATAGTTTGCGTTCTTTGTTTCTTATAATGAACTTATTTTTTTTATATATTTATTGCTTTTAAACCTCATTTGTTTTATTGGGATGGTTTCATCTTTGGGCTCTTCCTCTCAGAGGAAGAACGTTATAGAAATAAAGTTCAAAAGAAGACTGAAATAAATTTTAATACAATCTTGACAAACTAGAGAAATAGATTAAAAATAATAGAATGAAATTTAATTGAGACAAATGCAAACTCTGTACATAGAAGGATCAGAAATGAAGTGCACATATGTAGACGGGAAATGCCTGGTTTGGTAACTGTATTTTTGAAAAAGAATTTGGAATAATTATCTCAAACTGAACATGAAGAGGCAAACATCCGGTTGTGGGAGTTCCTGGAGGTTTCTAAATAAGAGATTGGACAGCCATTTATCTGGAATGATACAAGGTCTCCTATTTGTGTAGGGGGCTGTACTGGAACACCTCCAAGGTCCCTTCCAACTCTTTTATACTGTAATCTGGATGGGGGGGAGGCAAATGCACTTTAGAAGTCAGAGAAAGTAATTGTTTCACTTTGTTCTGCACAGGTCAGACCCACTTTGAGTATTGTGGCTAGTTCTGACTACCATACCTAGGAAGAAAAAATGGGAGCAAGGATGATCAGGACTGAGCACTAGATCCCGAAGAGAGATTTAAGTGTATGTTTAGGGTGTATGCTGAGTATGTTTAGCCTTGGGGAAAAAAGATGATTGGGGGGATTTCTTTGCACTTTTCAAATATCTGAAAGGATGTGACAGAATAGTCAAAGCCCTCATTCCGGCATGCTACGTAGGGAATAATGAATTATAGAAAAGCAGATCTCAACTGAATGTTAAAAGAAAAAAAATGGGGTATGAGCAGTTTGGTAGTGGAACCAATTACCTGGAGAATTAGTGTGTTCCTTTTCAGTGGATGTGTTCCAACAGAGATTAGACAGCCATCTATTGAGGATGTTTTAATTTGGATTCTTGAACTGAGCAGGTGGTTGGCCTTGCTGATCTAAATTGCCCTTTTACAATTCTAGGATTCTGTGATTTTATTGCAGTAATACACTTTTCAATAGACACCACTGAAAGCATCTGCCATACCTCCAATACTGTTTGGATTTTTTAAATTGTTGAATATATCATTGTATATTCAATCAAAATGAATTGGTCTGACCCATCAGGGCAGTTCCTGGTGCTGAATCACATAAGGAATTACTTCATAGGCATGATCCTTGCTCTTTCAGCCTGACACCTCTCCTCTGTCATCCAAGCCAGCCCCTTCAGTGCAGCCGAAACTGCCCCATCAGCCAGGCTCACAAGCTGCCTCTGCAGCTTCAAAGCCAGCACCAACTGGTAAAAGTGCTCCAAAGATGATTGCAAAAGGTAAGTGTGTTTTTTATTTTACTAATTTCCTTTTTCTTCTGCATCACCTTGCCGCTGGTGTCCTCAACCCAGTCAATAATGTAAACCGGTGGCTTGCATTCTGTGGCATCCATAAAGATTTTGAGTCAGACAGGGAAGAAGAAAGCTGGCAAATTCAAGTATCTGTTCTGTTGCACTTTTCGCTGATGATCAGGTGGTTGACTAGGATGGACAGAACCTCTCAAGAAATTTCTCCCATATTTGGGTACTGGTGCAACTCTCCAGCTACATATTAGTTCTTTGATAGGTTTCTCCCTGCTTTCTCCCATGCAGTATGAAATTATACCTTTGCTTTTGTCACGAAAGTGATAATTTCCCTCCTGCATATTTGTGTATCACTTCTGCCCAATAATAGGTATCTAAATGCTTTAGCTAGGTAGCTAGGATGACCTTCACCATTGGGTGTTCTTGTTGGGAGTATACCTTCTTGGTGTACACATTCTTCACTCATTCCTCCCAGGAACACACACACACACTTACAGACCCATCACACTGGGGCAACATAGCAAGACCAGAGAAAGGGACAGATTTACAAATATTCAAAATCGTCTGAGTATATGTCTTCTCATACCACCAGCACTGTTGTTAAATGGCAATTGTTTTGCACAGAGCATGACCAAATTAGTGCATGATTGTACGATGAGTTTCCCACATCCACATGGAAAATTTCCTTTCTTGTGTTTACCATTACTATGAATAGTATTTCATCCCTGCAGCTCAACAGCAGCTGGCATTCTTAGAAAACCGGAAGAAGCAATTGAAACAGGCAGCTCTCCGAGCAAAGCAGCAGAATGACATTGAGGGGGCCAAGCTGTTCCTATGTCAGTCCAAAGGGCTGGACCCCATGATTGAGGCATCACAAAGCGGGCTCCCAGTCGACATAAGTAAGGCAAGTTGTTTTCTGTCCACCTAGGGAGGGAGCATGTCCCTTGACTTGTAGATGAGCTGTCTGGCAACTGTAAAATTTGCCAACATCCCACTTCTTTAGCATCATCTTCTTTCAAGCGTGAAGCAATTTTGATGGCAGAAATTGGAGTATCTGGCTTATGAGACTTCCAAGAGAACTTCATTTAAAATGAGTTGGCAACTTTTTCAGTTCAAGGAAATGTCTGAAATCTGATGATATTTTAATGATCTCATGCAAGAATATTGTAATCTTAGAAGGTTTTGGCCAATTGAATGTTTTCAATTAATCTGAGTGCCTGCAGCCAGGATTTTACTCTATTTTGCCCTTTCTGATTTTAAAGAAATGAAGAGGCTGTCAAAATCTTCCATTTCAATTTAGGCATGACCTGAGCTTTCAAATGTACAAACAGAGGTCATGTTTGTAAGAACGATCAGACCAATAGAATCTGGGCCAGAGCAAAACAAATTGATCTGACCCAGCAGGGCAGTTCTTATGTCAAGCATGGAAACTGCATCTGATTGGAGGACTGGCCCCTTCGCCTCCATGGATATGCCAGATGATGTTAGGGGCAGGGCTTTCAGAAGGAAAGCCTCATCTCTAGCCAGAAGCTGCACCCCAAGGCTATTTTTTGTTCAGTACCATTACTCTGAAATCCTCCTGCAGAGAGGGCTTGGCTTTCTCTTTGAAGTGGGAAAATGGAGCCTGGGCAAAGTTGAGCTGATCCTCTTAGTGTTGATTGGTTTTAATTCTGTCCTGTGTTTCCCCCTTGAGGTGTGAAAAATGAGGTGCAAGCCAAACAGGTTTAGGGGAATGTTTAGGGGACAATGGGAGTTTCACCTGAAACCCGACAGGTGGATCATAGGCTGGGATTTGAGCCCATTGTACTCCCTATATTACATTCCTCTGGTCCCTTGTCAGAAAAGGGCCTCCAGCTAGGCATCTTTTATATATATATATATAAAAGTTTTATTAATTTTTAAAAATTACAGTCTTTATTGCTTAGTAAACAACATGTTGTCTGGGTTCAAATATTTAACATTAACTTCTTCAATATAAATCTGTTCAATACTACACGATCCAGTATTTTTCCCCTGATCCTCCTTCTCCATATTTTTTCCATTTTCCCTTCATTACACCATTACAATTTTTGGTACTGTTAATGTATACAGAGTTAGACATAAGCATCTTTTTCATATTTTACTAATATCATACAAATAACAATAATATCAATTCATAAATCAATAACGTCAATTCGTTAATCCATATCCTGTTTTTCGTGCTCTTGTTAAAGTTTGATTTCCCATCAGTATTTGAAATATCTTTATCAGTTATGATTTTCTCAATATTAATTACATTTATATAGCTGAAAGTTTTATTCAAATAAATCGTCCTATCTTCATATTTCCCATATCAAAAAAAAGAAAAAATGCTATCCTAATTCTAAATCATGTCTTTCTTTATAAAAGTCTAATTATATCTAAGGGTCTTCCATTCTTTTAATCTTATTCAAAGAAGTATTTAAACATGCCCCCTCTAAAAGGCCAAACCTTCTGTTTTTTAAATTGGACTCTTGCTTTTTTTCTTTGCCAAGTTGCTTTCCAAGCCAGGGCAATTAGATTACCCAGGAATTTTCTTTCTATTTTTGTAAAAATTGCTTGGCATGAGGAAAAAAATTTAGGAAGGATATTTTTAGGGGGGAACTCCATCCATTTATATTCCTTAAACAACTCCCAGTTCCTTTCTCCCTCCATTTCTCTTCCATTTCATTCCGTCTCCCAAGTTGTGACATTTCCCTTAACAGCTCTATATTCCCTTTTTAAAAATATTTTTCCTTGCCATCAGATATATTTTGCAGACCTAAGGGGTAATTTTTTTTTTGCATTTTCATTGTTATAGCTAAGTCTTGCAGTATTTTGTTTGTATATAGTCATTTATATTTCCCTTCTTTTATCTCTTCCATCTCTAAATCCATTTCCTCTGTTTCGTCTTCTGATTTCTGGATTATTTGTTCATACTTTGTAGTTGTTATCTGGGAGCTTTCTAGTTGTAGATTTAATTTGGAGATTTGCTCATTTATATTGTCTAAATTGTTTTTAGTCTCATTATGATTTATTTTTATGTCCTCTTTGTATTCAACAATTGTTTGGTGAATTAGTTGTAGCATAGAATATATTTCTTTCTGAAAGGTGTTTGTTTTTTCTTGAGGCATCATTCCTGGAGATTAGTTTTCTGGTCTTTAAATGTATCCTTTATAATCCAATAGATTCCAAAGTATAGGTTTAGTTCTGAAAGCAATACTTTATAGTAATCCATTGTCTCAAGTATCCCAAAAATTGTCAGTCAGGCAAGTAATCCACAATGTTTGAAGTGTTCAAAATGTTCAATCTCTCTGAAAACAGCTCAAAAGCCTCTCCCAGCCAGGTATAGTCCAAGGTCAATTTTTTCTTTCTCTCCCACTAGCTCTTGAAGTTAAAAGTCCAAGCTCAGTAAATATTTATAATCCAAGAAGGTCAGGATGATAAGTATGCCAAAATATTTTCCTTTATTGCCAGCTGTTCTCCCAAGGTAGGAATCACCAAGCAAAGCAAATTATGGTGCTATACACAAATCCACCACTAGATGTCATTCAAAGTCCATTTTCCACTCTTAAAGGATTGATTTCTTATATTTCGCCTCAGTTTTTTTTAAAGAGAAAATCTTAACAGTTATCTCAGTTCTCAAATTTATCGAAACTGTAGCTTTATGTTTCTTCCACTTCAATATTGTATGTTTCTGTCCCCCATAAAATTAAAACACCGCTTCCATTTACATTTGGAGGTTTTTAGCTTCTTGGGAGCCTTTCCCAGGAAATTCAGTTGTAAAATAGTAAAGAAAGGATCAGTATTCTCACCCAGTTCCAAACATGATTTTACAATGTATTAAATAGTGCTTTTTTTTTTCCCTTTGGTTGCCAGCAGCTAATGGCCGGCCACAGGAATGTAGCTGGTCTTTCCCCTGTCAATGTGGAGGGCTTTCCTTGGATCGAACTGAAAGACCACCATCTCTCCATGATCAACAAGGCACCCCTCCTCTTCATCGCCTCTTCGGGGGGATTTTAGGCCCTTTTCTGGGCCCCCAGCAGGGCAAAATTGGGCGCGGAAGGCAGAGCCCTGCCTTCCTGTGTCCTGTTCCGCCGCAATGCAAACCAGAAGTCCCAGCTAGGCATCTTTTTAAAGTCTCTGGCTGGTGCAAAATATTTCTGCAGTTCTCCTTAGGATAAATCCCTGAAGTATAGCAGTTCATCTGTATGCTTTCCTCCATGACCTAGAAAAGCCTATATCAGTTTTTTGTAGAGATCGATTTGGCTTAAGTAAAACAGAGCTACGATATGATTTCCCCTTGCTGGGATACAAAAGGAGGTATCCATGAAGGCATAGTATTTTAGAAGTGATTAATTCTAATGTTTGCTTTCTTCTTTTCTTTATTTAGGTGCCCTCGGCTCCCATGAACAAGGAAGAATTCATGCTTGTGCAGCGCGGTGGGACCAACATTTCCCCAGCAACAGCTGCCCGGTACACTGAGCTTGTGAAGCTCATGAGACAGCAGCATGAGGTAATAAAAGCCAGGCTGAAGCATGAAAGGGGCACGAAGCTCTTCTCTTCTAAGAGATGAGATAGAATCCAGAAGAGATTCTAACTTTTCCTTACTATGTATATAGTTCTTCCTGTACTCTGGAATTGTAGTTCTTTCATTCTTCATCCATTTCTCTGATTGTTCTTTTTTGATCTTGGGCAGAAATGATGAAGATGGGTTGTAGACTAAAGGCCCTCTCTCTAAATGCGATGGACTTCAACTCCTAAGTTATTCAGGGAGCTGGCCTTTGGTTATAATCCAGTACATCCGGAGAAGGGTCCAGCCCCTTAGGATGACAATCTGATTTTGGATATTTTTTATAGGAGGCAAATTTTAATGGTAGTAGCCATATTTGTTATTTACCTGTCTTCTCGGTATGCATGTGTGTGTACATTTTTGCGGTGGGAAGTGAGAATTTCATCCAAAGGGATGTGTGGAATTAGGTGAGAAAACATCTCTGCATTCTTCAAGCAGTTTTTCTCTCACCAAACTCATTTTTGGTATAAACTGTGTTCAGGTAAAGAGTTAGGTGGTAGACTGGGAGTGGGTGGAATTGTTTGTCTTCTTGCTATTTTTGTTTTAAAAATCCTCTTTCATATAGGGAGCAGATGTCTGGACCAAACTGAACTTGGCCTCTTAGGTTGTTTACCATCCCAAAAGATATTAAAGAAGTTATGTGTGTAAGGAAATAATTTATCTGGAGGAGGTTCGGTGGTTTTTAAAATAGAAATTTTAAAAAAGAAAAAGAAAACTGCCCAAAGACATTCACTTGATTCTCATTTCATTGCTGTTCGGTTACATTCAATTTTTTAATGAACCAATGGATATCATTTCAGCAGGATTGTCTGTTAGTAAGAGCTACTTTGAGTACTTGTATAAGCTTATGTTGTCACTAACAGAGATCGCATCTAGCAACTTTGACTTCTGTTGACCCCTTTTTGATTGCCTTTGATTTTCCCAAGTATGAGCAATTACTCCAAAGACTGTTCTCTTCAAACTGTGTGTCCAAAATATCAAGCTTTAGCTTCCTTATTAGTTTTCCAGTGAGAAGTCGTGTTTTTCCTTATGTAGAATTAAATTTGGATTCTTCTTGTGATCCAAGGTATTCTCAACATTTTTCTCCAGTACCACAATTCAGAGACAACTATTCTTTCTCCAGCTTTTAAAGTCAAGTGTTAACAGTATTTATGATTCCTCTGCAATTTGCCTAGATCTGTGATATTGTTTCTCACTAGTACAAGTAGTCTTCACTTAATGACAGTAATTGGACAGGCAACTCTATGGTAAGTGACGTGATCAGAAAGCATGGCATCAGGTGACTGCATCAACATACTACAGCAGTTGCAATAGTTTTGCTTAGCACAGTTAAGCGAATCCTCCATGGCCATTAAATGTGACATCACATGATCGCCATTTATGATCTCCTGCTGACTTCCCCATTGACGTTGCTTGTCAAAGCCAACACCAGTACTATTTTTATTTCCCCTCTACTCTTCCCTAGCTTGAAGTACCATGCCAACATAGTGTTCTTGTCATTTCCCATTCCACTGGATTGTATTTAGTCTGCACCCATCATGGATCACTGTTCTGTAGGATCCATGCCCAGCAATATAGCCTTAGAGCAGGGGTCCTCAACCTTGGCAACTTTAAGACTTGTGGACTTCAACTCCCAGAATTGCTGGCTGAGCAATTCTGGGAGTTGAAGTCCACAAGTCTTAAAGTTGCCAAGGTTGAGGACCCCTGCCTTAGAGCATCATTGGGATGTGCAGGCCCCTTCAGCACTATGAGGTAGCAGTTCCTGAAATACTATTTGAGATCTTATGCTTTGAAAACATAAATGTTCAGCTCATTTGCACATGATGTGTAACAATTTTCAAAGTGGTCGGGTTTTATGTTCTGCATCCTGTGTTGTTAGCTTGCTGCTTATCTCTGTGCATATGAGGATGCCAATTCATTGAATTCCACGTAGGGTGAATAAACTGTAGCAGTGAGATAGGCCAACAGAAGGTGAAACAAGAACAAAATTCAGGACAGTATTTCTTTATCTCCTCACCCCACCCCATAGTTTCTGGCCCAATAATCATTTGATTCCATGATTTGCAATGTTATGAACTCACAGAGTTATCTAGAGTTTACTTTAGATTTTCTTGGTCTCTTTCTGAACCCATCTTGTCAGTCCTCTTCTCAGTTACATATCCTATTTGTTTGCTTCATTCCACAGCTGTGCTTTGTATCATACTGCTTTTGATATCATCCATACATTTTGATATGTAAAGCTTAGGCGTGCATTGTGTTTTCTTCCTTGTTGGTAGTGTAATGCTTTTTCCTTTAAGTTGTTTAGCAGAAAGCTAAGGTGATGAGGGAAAGGTGGAAATAATCTATTTGCCAGTTCTGTGCCCTCTTTGGTGCACTGTGCTCTGCAGAAAGTGGTGATGGTCCAGTAATCTCTACCTAGAGAGATCTAGCTCCCATGCCTCAGATTGGAGTGAGTCACATACGTGTCTGTTGATCTTCCCAAAGATTCAGTTCTGACAGCCAGCAGCAACTTTGAATAGGTTGTCCACAAGGCCCAAGAAAGAGTTAACTACAGCTACTGGATGGGGGATGGATTACATCAAAAATATGTTCCTGGGTTCTGTGAGGAAAGAGGCTGCAGACTCTTGTGTAAGAGTTGGGCTTATTAAAGGAAAGAATATGAGTGTTGCCTGAGGGATTTTGAATGGAGAGGAGGCAGCCAAATCTATCACATGTTTGTCTGCTCCTCATGTGGCTTCCTTTTTGTTCCAGATGTGCATCAGTTACTCAAAGCAGTTCACTCATTTAGGGAACATCACAGAAACCATCAAGTAAGTATATCAGTAACCTTACCAATATGCTTCTCTGATGTTACATGATCTTCATGTCGGCTAGACATATCCTTGTAATGAATATTCCTTTGGGGAGTTAAGCCATTGAATACATTTCCTTTGGATTTAAGAAAACAACCTGAAGCAAATTATAGAGTAATTAAAGATAACAGTAAGCCTTTTGCATTAGGAAAAGCTTCAACTTCTTGGAAAAAATAACCAGTAATCAGGAGAGGCCAAGTCAGACAAGAAGCATGTTTTCATGCCATAGGTTCACTCCCAGCATCTCTCAGATCATGCTGGAAAATATTACTGTTTCAATCCTTGGAAAGCCACTCCCAGTTGCTGTTGACACTAAGGAGATGTAGTTTCTAAATCAAAAGTAATAATTAGAAAACAGTGGTAAGTGATGAAGTTATCTTCTTTGCCCCAGAAGAGGAGAATATAACTAAATCTTCTAGCAGTCAGGTGTCCATATGCACCACATCTAAAGCATCGCATCTCTGTGTGTCCCATCTTTTTCTCCTCTAAAGGTCCGTTTTTGTATTTAACTTTTATGGTATGATTCATGGATCACATGCCTAATGTGTTACTTGGTATTTGGTAAAATGTGCATTCGCTAGGCAGATCTGGGACCAATACTGATGCAAAGCGCTCTGGTTTGCATGGAATGTTCCACTTTCCCGATGCAGTTCTCAAAACACAACTTGTTCCCAGACGTCAAGATCCACTGCCAATTGGCTGTGGCTGGAGAAGTTCCAGTTTTATTCACTGTTTGCAAATAATACTGCTTCAGTTTGCTGGGGTCAAAATTAACTATTTTAGACTGAATTGTTCGGGTTTTTTCATATTCTTTGGCAGCTATCAAAAACCCAGAGTTTCTATAGAAAATGCATTGAGATGAAAAGGATGGGATTACAGGAATTCCAGCAATTGAACTGCTCTCAACTAATACCACTATATCCCTGTTTATATTATTTACTTTATTTGTACATGTTTGCTTTATTTGTATTCTGACTATTCTTGAAGGCCTTTTATGAATAGGTCTTCAGCGATGTCTGATTAACATAGAGAGTTTCTGATTTCCTTTGTATGATCCAGTACAAGTTCCTTCATTGGTAATGGGGAAACCTGCAGCTTCTTGTTTACGTAATGATCCCAAGAACTTTTATCAGTCTGGGATCAGGGCTGCTAGTTTGCTAAAAGCTACCGTAATTTTTAGTTGGGACCTATAGTTACCTAGTCTTGTTTCTGATAGAGCCTATCTACTGCTGTGATATGTTCAGTGTATTCCTGCTTTTATAGCTCAACCATCCACAGTTTTAGATGATTGCTTTGCTGCACTTCACATGTTGTAATATTTTATTTATTTAATAAGTAATTTTATATGCTGCCCATCTCACTGTTGAGGAAATTCTGGAGAACTTACAAAATGATAATGGTAATATAGTCTTCAGATTTACACAGTGCAATTCATTGTGTAAATTGGCTGTTAACATGTCATCCAGATGAGCATATGAAGGATGTCTGGTTAAATTTCATGAATCAGATATAAACTAGATATTTGTTTTGGTCTTCCCCTGTCCAGATTTGAGAAGATGGCTGAAGACTGCAAAAAAGATATGGAGATATTAAAACAAGCACATGCCAAAGGATTACCACTTCCAAAATATCATTACGAGCAGCGGACCCACAGTGTGATCAAGTGTGTGAGCTTGTCATGATTACGGCAATTTGTCCCTGCTGGATGCCAAATACTTTTCAGTTACTTTTCTCATCAGAAGTGGTTTCAGATTTTGGATGTCCTGGTTCGGTTTTTCTCTGAGTCCCAACAATTAACAATCCAGAAAAGGGCAACCCAATCTTCATAAGAAGAATCTTGCCACAATTTAATGTTCGGTAGTGTCAGCAGGGTAGGGTTTGAGAGTGAGTAAGAACTATCCCCAGATTGACGCTGGATAGAAATGGCCCCAAGATGAATTTGGTATATTGCCAAATTGACCAGTGGCATTTTAATCGAAGCATTGAGATAATACTATTGAAGGTTGCAAGAAGCCCATCATGATTTAAATTGATTTTGTGAATTGTTTTTGTGACCTGAATGAGTTGCAAATTTGCCAGCCTTGACGTGGGCCTGGGGATTTAGAACAACAACCCCAGATCCTTATAGTGGGGATTATAATCATTTTGCTGGCATAGGGCTTGTCTGGTGCTGTGGAAGGGGTTGGAAGGCACAACAATAAAATATGTTTTTAAATTGTTTAGAATTTATTTTTACTCTTGATAAATCCTGTATGCATTTTTAATGACTGCTCAGCCTTCCTCATGCTGGTCTGTGAAGAAGGACACAAAGATTGGGGCCTTATTATAAGGATAGATGTCATTGGGTTTTCCTTTTTCCCCCTAGATTTCTTTTAGGGATAATAGACATCCCTCATCAGGGGACTGTTCATTTAAATAGATCTAGCTCGGTGTCTTTAGCACCTACAACAAAAATAGAAAGCAAAGGGATTTTCATGGCAAAGAGCTAAAAAGGATTTCAAGTGTGCAGCTGTTGTACAAGAAAAAGAAAAAAAATCTATTAATGTCAATCATTAAACCAACTGAAAATACAGGTAGTCCTCAACTTACAACAATTAGTGACCATTTTTCACACTTACGAGCACTGCAGCATCCTCATGGTTGTGTGATCAAAATTCAGACATTTGGCAGCTTGTTCATATTTATGATGGATTGCAATGTCTCTGGCTCATATTATCCCCTTTTGCAACCTTCTGACAAGCAAAGTCAATGGGGAAGCCAGATTCACTTAACAACCATGTTACTAGCCTAACAGCTACAGTGATTCACTTAACAACTGTGGCAAGAAAGGTTGTAAAATTGGGCAAAACTCACTTAACTCGTTTCACTTGGCAATGAAAGTTTTGGGCTCAGTTGTGGTTGTAAGTTGAGGACTACCTATTGATGCGGTACAGCTATGTTTGGAATACTGTGTCCTTTTTTCTCCCACCTCAATTACTTTATGATTAACTCAAGGTGGCACAAACACACATAGCACTCTTTCCTCCTCCTACTTTCCCCACAACAACTCTGTGAGGTGAGTTGCACTGAGAGAGAGGGGCTTCACTGAGAGAGAGGGATAGCACTCAGATCAGCATAGATTAGCTCCAAGGTCAACTTCAGACCAACAATCGTAAGCAATACACCAGTCAAGAAACTGCCAAAGAAGCCATTAGTAAACAGCCCAACCAAAGAATCCCTAAGACTGTCCCCCACACACACATGCAGGCAAGAACCAGAATATAAACCAACAGCAAACAGCATTCCGTACTAGCACTGATGATGATACCTAGTTAGGGTAATGAAATGTCTGCAAGAAAACAAGCTCAGAGAACACCAAGGACCCCTCAAAGAGGGACTGGCCCAAAAACACCCAGCTGTCTTTCATGCCTAAGGCGGGACTAGAACTCTCCCGGTTTCTAGGTCAGCCCATTAACTGCTACACCAAACTGGCTTTCTGGCCAAAGCACTTGTAGACAGATACTTTAGATCAAGAAAAGAAGTAGAAAAGGCAATTGCGATTACTAAAGGCTAGAATATCTTCCTATAAAGAAAAATGGCAACAGCAGGCAAGAGAACACATATAGATATATAAAAACATGCATGGTATAGAAAATATAGGTTAAAATTTTTTTCCCCCTCACAGTATTAAAAATGGAAAAAAATGAAATGAAATCAAGGAGCCAATTGCCCGTACCAATAAAAGAAATTGCTATTATATGTAGTGTATAGTTAAACCATGACATTTCTTGGATGTGATCATGGTCACATTTTATTGAAGGAGATTAAGGCTATCAGTGGTCGTATATAAATTTTTGAATCACGGGCAGCATATTTCAGATACCAGCTGCTGCAAAATGGCAGTAGAAAAGGGCAGAGGCTCTCTTGTCCATTCTTAGGAGTTTCTAAAATGACTTGGTTGCCAATATGCAATTCAGATTGTTGGACTAAAGAAATTCTTGGCTTGAAAAATGATGATGTACAAGGCTATGCAAGTGGCACTGTGGGGCTTGGAGGGGGGCTGCATGGAGGTGCCACGGAGGGAGGGAGGGTGGGGGGGGACTGTGCCAGAGATGCCATGTGGATTGGGGAGGTTGTGCAGGGGTGCAGTATGGTTTAGGAAGGGAGTATGGGGATGTGAAGGAGGGTGTGCAGAGATGCATGAGTGTTAGGTAAGGAAATATTTCTGAACTGATGACCCAATGAGTTGTCTCGAATGACTAAAACTATTGGGCTGCCCCACCCCATTCTTTTTTTTCTTTTTTTCAGGATCTTTCCAGAATTAAACAGCAATGATATGATTCTTTCAATAGTGAAAGGAATTAACCTCCCAGCTCCTCCAGGTAATCCATAAAATGAGCCCGGTTTTCGAGACTATCAAAACTAAGTGGGGGAACTCCCTAATTTTGCTGCCATCCTTTTTAAGGATGTTGAAATGGCTGGCTTCTGCCTTCATGTATTCTGTAAATGCCCCTCTCTTGGTCTTTTTCTGTGTTATTATTCTCCTGGCTTTCTACAAGTGGCAGAAGCTGAAATATTCACACCAGTATTCATCCTCATCATTGGTACAATTGTTGATTCCTGGCTGTTCCCAGCAGATTGACAAGATGGATGCTTAAAAGCATGGTTTTGTCTCTCTTGCCTTTTTTTCAACAATGTGGCTGTCTTTAAGAGCTGATTTTTCATTCAGTGTATGCCCTACATTTTGTTCCAAAAGAAAGATCAGAAAAATAAACAGTTAAAAAAAACAATCTAGCAATAAACATATAAAAGGATTGGGTTATCTCATTTCAGTTACTATTGCAGTTGGTTTACTGCAATAGATAAACTATTTAGTCAAAAAGTACATGGTTTTGTTGATTTCTGAACAAATCTGTTGCTAGCATCATCAAGCAAAATAAGGACCCGAAAGGGCATCCTCCAGCAATTATGTCCAATGGACTAGACTCCATTCATGCTGACTTGCAGGTTACCAAAGGCCAAGCTTCTCTTCTAGAAACCACCCCCGGTGTACAAAAATATTTCTGTTTCAGACCTTAGTCTAAATTTGTTTGTCTTCATTGGCAGATAATCATGTTTGTGATTTGAAATGAATGTTTAATAGCTGCTGTCACGCAAGATTGTGCTTTGTGAAGATTTATTTTTAGCTTTCAATTGTCCCCCCCCCCAAAAAAAACCCTTGACTATTATTTGCCATATTCCTGTTACCTTTTTTTCAGGCATATCTCCTGATGATTTGGATGCTTTTGTGCGCTTTGAGTTTCCCTATCCTAATGTGGTAAGTTAGTGCCGGTTTGAAAGCTACTGTTTCCTCTACATGGAAGGTATCTTATCTGAGCATCCACTAAATTCAAAGATAGTGCCCAAGATAGTATCCATAGATCATATCCATAGTCTTTTTGAGCCTTTGGAAACATTAAGAAAGTGTCATTATGGTCAAAAGACTATTGTAGGTGATGAGTGTCAAAAAAGATGTAGCATGTTATAGTAGCCATGTTGATGCATTAACAATCATATTCTTGGGAAGTGAAATAAACTCTTGATCTATTTATAATTATCTCTCATAATATATCTCACCAGGTGGCAGCATATGACTGATCTTGTTTGGGTTTGGAAGCTAAGCAGGATCAGTCCTGATTAGTACTGTATATGGCTGCATGGGAGAAACCCTATTTAGATTGTAGGCTAGACTGCAAAGTCAGAATAGTATCCCGTAAGAAGACAGTGGCAAATTAATTCCATATTGCTGCCAAGAAAACCCCACGAACTCATTACACATTAAGGTTGACATGAAGAGATGTTACCTTTGCTGATATGTAACACATGGATAGAAAAAATAGATACAAAGCATAAAACTGCTTGTGTCAGATGGTTATCAAAGCCTTTTGAGTTAATTCTCAAAGAAGTAGTTATTCTTATTGCCTTTCACATTTCTGTGTTTTCTAGGAGGAAGCTCAGAAAGACAAGACCAGCGTGATCAAAAACTCCAACTGTCCTGGTAAACCTCTGTGTTGAAAATCAAGAGAGTGCAAATTTTATTTTTCCAGGTTTAGATTAAAAGTGCATTGGCAGATAGTATTTGGAAACACAATTAAGTTTTAACTTTTTTTTTCTTAAAGCTGTGGTGTATAATCCTTTATCATCCTCAACTGTATTTTTAATCCCCCTCCATAGCAACCCGGGTTAGATATGTGTGATTTATTTGGGTTAAAGAGGAAAGGTTAAAAATAAACCTCCTTCACAGACTTCACTTATTTCCTTCTTAAGGATGTGACTCCATAGTGTGTTCTTGAGCAGTAACAATCCCACGCTTTTAACTGGAGGAGGTGCTACAGATCAAATACCTGATAATATTGGGAACTAGTGCTGGTCTGTCTTTGATGAGATTTAATTATGACATGATTGGATGGTCAGATTCTTCATCTTCTACCTTATCACCTGTCCCTTACCTGTCTCAGGTACCAAGACTGACTGGAAGATCTGAGAAAGAAATGAAGATGCCAGATTAGGAATGTAACAATCACTGGGAGTATATACGCATATGCGCACCCACACAAGCCCCTTCCCTCCCCCCAAAAGGAAGAAAGGGACAGAAACAGAGAGGCCGGGGAAGGGGAAGAGACAGAAAGCCATAATCACTAGAGAAGTTTAATAATCTGAAATGTCCACTTGTGGAAGGAATAAAGCTGCAAGTGGTCAGAATGCTGATGGTTCACACCCTAGAGAGACAGTAAGATTTTGTGGACTGTATCCTCAAGAACCTGCTACTACAAGTCCTTCAGTTGGCTTCAGAACATATTAGTTCCTTTCTCTGAAACTGTTCTTACCTGGAGAATCCTTCTGCAGATATTGTTGTTTATTGGCTGAGAGTTGAGAAGATGTGATCAATAGAAATTTGAAGACAAAGGAGGGGGCTGTTGGTTCTGAGTGATTCAGGAAAGGCTGTTGGAGCATTATTATTGGCATGGACTTGCTAGGATTGCAACAGAATCTTCTTTCTTGATAAACAGGGCTAGAAGCCAGAAAGCATAAAGAATTTTGGAGAAACTGGAATAGAGAGGGGGAGATAGTTGTCAAGCTTTGCCTGCATTTCTTGGAATTTGCTGACTGTTATCATTGGGAATGTATTTCCTGCAAAGGAACAACTAAAAAAATATTCCATGACTAAGTCTCCTCTTTGCTTTTTTGTCAATTCCTGCTCCCAGTTCAGAGTATTAGAATTAAAATTTCCTAAAACGTTTGAGACCAGTTTATTTGAAGGAACATTTCCTCCCATATTCAGTTACCTCTGTGCATTTATCTAGAGAAGAAAGTGGGTATTTTTACTGCCAAAGACTCAGTTATAACTGTCTTCCTCAAAAAGAGACTCAGCTGGTATTTTTATATCAAACAAAGGCTTCTCTGTTTTCTCACATTTTTTAACTTTTCCATTTTAGATATGTGTTCATTCTTTTTTGAACCTTACACATGTATTGCTAATTTTATTTTGATTTTATTATGTGGCTTGTTTTAATTTGTGTTAAATTAACTTATTAAAAGTCCACAGGCACTGGCTGACAAATTTAGAAAACCCACCCAACTATCTGTATGCCAATTTTATAATTCCCCAGAAGTTTTCATCAAGTTACATTAAAAAACAAACTAGGACGACTACTTTTTCTGCCCCTTACTTTCGGATAACGTAGTCTGTTGAACAATTCAAAAGCAGAGTTTAGGCATCTGTCTCACAAACTAACACAACTGCATCATTGGGTCATTGATTTAGATATGTTCAATTCCTTTTTTGGGGGGGGAGAGAAAAAACACTTGAATTGAGGTCTGTAAAGCTTTCAGCTTACCAGGTAATGCAGACCTCCCCATAGGCTTGTTATAGACCTTGCTAAAGTTGCTATAGACTTGCATCTCAACCCAGCTAATCTTTAGGTTTGCCATTTTGCTTTTGCAGAGTTCCAAGAGAAGTTCAAACTGTACATTAATCGGAGCCATCGAGGATTCAAGAGAGCCATTCAGTCCAAAGGGATCAAATTTGAAGTTGTCCATAAAGGGTAAGCAAGATGCATCTCAATGCCAATAGACAGCTTTGAAATCAGAAATCTAGTAGTAACTTCTCCAATTAACAGACTTTATTCAAAGGTAGAAACTTTGGTGCTCTTTGGTGATGAAGTCAGCTACAATCTTATGACTTTTAATAAAATCTGGAAAATTATGTGCTTGGTGTTTTGGTTACTCCTCCTTGGAAGATCAGTCTATAAAAACGAAACAGGTAATGATTGGTTTTCACAGGTGAAGTGTTAGTACCTCTTTATAAGACCTTGGTAAGACCACAATTGGAATACTGCCTTCAGTTTTGGTCACCACAATATAAAAAAGATGTTGAGATTCTGGAAGGAGTTCAGAGAAGAGCAACAAAGGACTGGGGTTACATGATAGCAGTCTTCCAATATTTGAGGGACTGCCACAAAAAAGAGGGGCTTAACTTATTTTCCAAAACACCTGAAGGTAGGACAAGAAGCAATGGATGAAAACTAACCAAGAAGAGAAGCAACCTAGAACAAAGGAGAAAATTCCTGACAGAATAATCAACTAGTGGAACAGCGTGCCTTTATAGGTTGTGGATGCTCCATCACTGGAGACTTTTGATAAGAGACTGGACAGCCATTGTCTGAAATGGTATAGGGTCTCCTACTTAAGTGGGAGATTGGATTAGAAGACCTCCAACATCCCTTCCAATTCTGATGTTCTATATTTGCAGAGCTGCTTTAAATGCCAATTACTTTAAGTGAACAGAGGAGAATGGCAGCTGTGTAAAAAGCACGGCACATCTAAGCCCATAAACTTAATTAGATTTTACATCAAAATCTGTTAAGGGGATGGTTATCTGTCTTCAAATCAGCACTGGCTCCTGGTGACTGCCTGGACTAGTCCCTGGAATTTTCTTGGTAACTGTTTTGGAAGTGGTTTGTCCTTGCCTCCTTCCCAGGGCTGAGAAAGAGAGACTGACCTAAAGTTACCCAGCTGGATTTGTGCCTCAGGCAGGACTAGAACTCTTGGTCTCTTAGCCTGGTGCCTTAACCACTACAGTGTACACCAAACTGGCGCAACTCAAGGGGGTAAATCTTCTAAAAGATACAAAGTCTGGATTAGGGCTTTGAGTGATATATGGATTTGACTGTTATGAATCATTTTAAAAACCATCATTAAAACAACTCATAGCCAATAAGGCAGGGTTATTTTGAAGAGGCTCTGGTGTTTTTTTTCTGAAATGGAATGAAGGCTGGGATTAATTATTGCTGTTTCTCTACAGGGGGCTGTTCAAAAATGACCGTGTGGTGGGAACAGCTCAGTTGAAGTTGGAAGCACTGGAAACCAAGTGTGAGCTTCGGGAGATTTTGGAAGTATGTTTTCTCTTTTTGTGAAATGTTGAGGGACAGTATCCCTGAAAATCTGGGCCTTGTGGCCTAACTAAGTAGAATGCTAGGTAGAATAGATTGGGCAAGCTGCTTTTGCTTGACCTCTCAGTTCTAATGCAAGGCTTGCTGAAAAGGTGAGTACTTTTTTATACAATGTATAATTAAACTTTGGGATTTGCTATCATATGATATGGTGCTTGCTTCCAGCTTAGCTAGCTTCAAAAAAAGGTTGGATTTATTCATAGAAGTCATAGGGATCAGTGGTTGTTAGCCTTGCTGGCAGCCTGATTGTGAAGCCATTTGCTGGGAAACTTATGCAGTTGGCTGGCCACTATGAGAACAGACTGCTGGACTAGATGGGCCGGAGGTCTGATCCAACAGGATAGTGTTTATGTTTTTATGCTGATTTTTTAACTTTTGACGTAAGCATCGTTCTTTAGCATTCTGTGCTGAAGATCAAGGTTTTTTTACTGTCAATTGTTTATTGCCTGCTTTCTGTTGGTCAAAAGTTTTAAAAACTGAATAACCTTTAAGTTATTTTATTTCAGTTTCCACGGAAGAAGCTGTTTTAATCTATTCCAGGCAAAAACTAGGCCCTATGTCATTGTGAAGACTGACAAATTTAAAATAACTCTACTTGTCTTCACTGTGCCTAAAATTTCTCTGTGCTTCCAACTTTTGTTACTTGATTTAACTTTGCATAGCATAGGTAATATAGTAGACAAGCAGAGGATACATAATTGTAGGTATCTAATAGGTTTCAGGGCCTTAAACTAGCTTCTGATGAGGAAGGGTAGTTCCCTGAGTGCCATCATGGTGCAGAAGAATGAGTAAAGTTTTAAATTAGGACGTGTGAACCTGGTTCTAGTCCACCTGCAGCCATGAATACTTCCTGGTTGACTTTGGGCCAGTCATAGTCACTCAGCTGAGCTTACTTTACTGTAGAGGATTGTTGTGGGAATAATATGAAGGAAAGTTTCCAAGTAAGTCTCCTTGAACTCCTGGAGAAAAATGGGATAGTATAAAAAAGAACTGGTGTCCTGTTGTATATTAAGGTAGCAAATGTTTTCCGATCCGTAATGAACATAATCATTCATTCCTTAACTGGGGTTGGAAAAATACTGTAGACTGAATGGTTTTAAGATGCAAGTTTAAATAAGGTGGACTCACTTTGACTCTGATTTCATATGGAGGTAACAAAATGTATCTCAGAGCCTCACAGCTTCATTTGAAGAAGCCATCATATTTGTCACCACCAATCTTTCCCTGTTCTCCTTTCTAGCTTTTGGATGGTCGACGGCCCACAGGAGGCAGATTAGAAGTGATTGTCCGCCTCAGAGAACCATTGACATCCCAGCAGCTGGAGACCACAACGGAGAAGTGGCTGGTCATTGATCCTCTCTCTGGGCCCCCCGTAAGAGCTGAACCACTCTGTGCATTCTAGAGGCTTTTTTCAGTGACAGCAAAGCCTCCATGTATGGCTTTGCATAGAATTCTAGCCCGGTCTGAGCTTTTTTATAGCTGAGATTCCTGTCTGTGCAAAGTCTGATTATAATGTTCCCTTCAGTCAGTACAATTCCATTTTCAAGCTGTACGTCCTGAGGCCAAACTTCAGGCCACGTCTTCAGAAAGAGATGTGTATTGAAAGCTTTATATTCAGGGGGTCCCTCAGGGGGTCCCTCTTGAGACTTCAAGGCCTGTAGCCCTTATTGCTCTTATGAGACTGGTTTCCTTATACCTCAGGGGCAGCTTGTGGAGTGTGAAGGGGACAGATTGCACTCAATCCTGTGCATTCTACAGATATAAGGGGGGGAAATGCACCAAGGTATCCTAAACTATAGTGTGCACAGACCTGGCAAATGTGTGAGAGTTGGCTTGCATACATTATTTTGCAATAGTTAATTACTTTGCATTATTGTATTTCAATTTTCCAAGTATTGGATGTGTTAGGAGATATCCAAGAGGGCATTGAAGCTCTCTCTTCTGCCTCTTGTGCTCGTCCCTTGAGATGTCACCAGACCTTATTTCACACCATTTCATCTCTATCTTCACAACCCATCAGAACCGTAAACTTACTCCTTCATCTTTCAAATAAAAATTGAAATAATAGGAACCTGAATTCCATATCCAGAACCACATATTCTATTTTTATCTGCACTGCTGTAGAATCTTTAACGTGTATATAACTATTTTCAGTTTAGGCTAATGGTTCATGTCATCTTGAGACGCCTGAATGAAAATGACCATCTTTGCAGGAGGACCTAACAGACTCTTTTTCCTTCATGTAGGCTACCTTTCCCAAACCTAAGCCAGCAGAAGCTCCTGTGAAAGATACATGTAGTAGGTAGGTATGTTCTCTGACTATGCTGAGGTCTTCAGGATTCAAATTCTACACGCAGTGACCTGTGGGGATATTTTCTGTCCTTGCAACCCTACTCCTTGATCTTGTGGACATTGTTCAGCACATGAAATTGAATACAAGGCTTGAGAGTTCAAATGAAAAGATTAATCAGGTCCAAGATGGCCACTTCAGAGGGAGCTTCTGAGTATCATTCAAGGTAATAGAATGGAAAGTAGGATAGATAAGATAACCTTTGTTGTCATTTTTTACTATGAGCACACTGGCCCATATTAAAAATGAAATTCTGTTGCCTGCTCTCAAAAGAAAGTATATATCTACCATACACATACACAACGCACATAGACATGTGCTATATACATGCACACAGACACACACACACATATATATACACACACATAAATATACATACATACATACATACATACAACTGTGTATAAGGACCTGCCTCAGTTAAACCTCCCAAGAAAGCAGAACTCTTGAAACTTGCATTGTTTCAACAGGAACTTTTATTGGAAGATATTGACAGCAGGATAGAAGGCAAGAAGATTTTCCGCATGAAACGTTATATTAAAAGGACCCTTTCAAACCCCACCTCAACTGTCCATCTGGCCAGTTCAAATAAGGAAGTACACAGCAGAATACCCATAGGTCCCCCTCCCCCCCTTAAAATGGCAGAACCCAAAAATAAAAGTATAGGAAAGCAAGGAAAATGCATAGGGATACTGACATGCTGCCCTCTTCAAAAAAATGAAAGATCCACCTGGAGAAAGATAAAATAATAAGGGAAGAAAACAAAACACAGTGGTTAGTCGGGTTTATAGGGATAGTGGGCATGAAACCGTTTTAGCAATCTAGGGGCTCTCACATGTTTTTTATGTACCCACTCTTTCTGAGAGGCTGGGAGGTTCTTCCATGCTATCAGGCATTGGGTGGACCCAGGGTGTTTTCTGGAGTCTAACATTTCTTTAATTTCAAAGTGTTGTTCCCCTTCCACCATAATGAGCTGTGGTAGGGGAGACACGGCTGGCCTTAAGGGTGAGCTCATTTCTGGTTTTAGTAGACTACAATGAAATACCGGATGAACCTGTCTTAATGTTTTGGGGAGTTCAAGCTCTACTGTGACTGAGTTAATGATGCGTTTGATAGGGAATGGTCCCACAAACTTTGGTCCTAACTTCTTTGAAAGTTGCATAAATTGCAGAAACCTGGTGAAGAGATATATCCTGTCCCCCACCCTAAAAGACTTGAGTTCCACCCGCTTTTTGTCTGCCTGCGCTTTATAAGCTTTTCTAGCCTCGTCTAGGGCTTCTCTGACCACTGGCCAATTGTCTTGTTCGTAGTTTATAAAGCATCTAATGTATTGTTTTAGTACTGAGTTCATTGGTTCTGTTCCCCCCCCCCCATTCATTTGCAGATGATGCCTAGACAGGCCCTGATCTATACCCAGTAGGTCCAAAACGGCTCTCCAGAACTTTGAGGTGAACTGGACCCCCACATCTGATATTATGCGCTGTGGGGCTCCATGTAGCCGATAGATGTGTTGCATAAACATCTTAGCCAAGACTTTAGCAGTTGGGATTTTTTGGAAAAGTATAAAATGGACTTGTTTGGAGAATAGATCTATCACTACCCAAATGACAGTGTTTTCAGCACTCTCTGGTAGTTCTACGATAAAATTCATAGAAATCTCTCTCCAGGGTGCTGAAGGGCTCGCCACCACTTGCAAAAGGTCAGGCGTTTTCCCTTGCCTCTGTTTTGCTGCTGCACAAACAGGGCAACTGGCTACATAGCTTTGAATGTCCTTTTTTAGGGATGGCCATCAGAATTGTCTCTTTACTAGGTGGAGGGTTTTCATGAATCCAAAGTGTCCTGCTAGCTTCGAGTCGTGGCAGAGTTGCATGAACTTTAATCTTTGGGTTGTGGGGATGTATAATTTCCCCCCTATCCACGGCAGTCCGTTTTGCATTGAATAGAGATTCTTGTGGTTAAGGAACCACTTGTCCGTCTCCAGAGCTTGTCTGAATTTGGTGCCTGCTGTGCTGTCCAGGTGGGGCAGATTTGCACCCTCGTGGTGACTTGGGGAGCTAGTTGTTTCATAGACAGCAATGGTTTCACCAGTTCAGCTCTCATCCTGCTGTATTGCAGCTTTCATGACAGGGTGTCTGCCAGGAAGTTTTTCCCCCCCAGGTAAATATCAGAGGGTAAAATTAAATTGGTGGAAGTGCTGGGCCCATCGAGCTTTTTTAGGGGACAGTTTCCTAGGGGTCTTCAATGCTTCGAGATTTTCGTGATCAGTCCATACTTGGAAAGGGATCTTATTCCCTTCTATGAAGTGTCTCTGTGAGTAGGGCCCAGCGTACGGCGTAAGCTTCCTTCTCCCTGACTGCCCACCTTTGCTTGGTCTCTGTGAGTTTCTTTGAGGTGTAGGCGCAGAGTTGCAACTGGCCTTCCTTGTTTTCCTGGAGCAGTACCGTCCCCACCACCACGTCGCTAGCATCAGTCGGGATGACAAACAGTTTTTCTGGATATGAGTGTTTAAGCACCAGCTCCATAGAAAAAAGCCTCTTTCATTTTTCAAATGGCGCCTGGCGTTCCATAGTCCATTTTAGCGGCTGGCTGGGTTTTGGCTTGTCCTCCCCCTTTGTTTTCAGTAAGTTAGTAATGGGGAATGCGATCTGTGCGAAGGAGGGGGATGAACTGCCGATAGAAGTTAGCGAAGCCCAGGAAACTTTGCACCTTCCTCTGGGTACGTGGCAGCACCCACTCCAACACAGTTCGCACTTTTTCTGGGTCCATCTCCACCCTATTGTGGGAAAACCGGTAGCCCAAATAATCAATCTTTTCTTTATGGAATTTGCATTTTGAAAGTTTGGCATACAGTTTGGTTGCGCAGAGCTTATTTAAGACTGCTCTTGACTATTTTAACATGCTCAGCTGTACATTTCCACCCCAGGCCACCCCAACGATGCCCTTGACGTGATGACCCGTTGCCTGGAGGCCGTACGGGTCTGGATGGGGAGGAACAGACTCAGGCTCAACCCTTCCAAGACTGAGTGGCTGTGGCTGCCGGCGCCTCGGCATAGTCAGCTGACCCCATCGCTGACTATAGGGGGCGAAATTTTGGCCCC